GAACTAACTTAGGCATCGGAGGGCCTTTGGCCAACACCCCCCGGGTGTGGTCTATTTACTCCAATCTGTTTTACAGGAATCGAGGAAGAGAGAGAAGGAAGATCGAAGGTTGAAGGATCTAGAAGCGAATATTCTCCCGTGAGATTATTTGCACAAACACTTCTATTAAAGGCACTTCCAACAAAACTTCTATTTAAAGCCCTTCCAACAACAGCGTTTATTAGAAGAAACACTTCCAAATAGACGAAATACGATACACCACAATCAACATGAGTGTGAATCTAAATTGTGAAAGCATGCATGTCTATCTCAGATGTTTATACTGGATAAAACTGCTGCCTGAGCCTCACTATTCATAATTCTCTCAAACTTTCAGCAAAGTAGTGAGGGTGATCAGGTCAGTTACAAGATTGTAGCAAGATTTTTTTCCTACATAAAATGGGTTTCAATCTGTGGTTATATACATGCATGAATTCCATAACATAATTAAACCACATGCACAGGGTCCGTTAGCGCATAAAAAACACTTGATTTTTGTACTCTCCTCTTTTCTACCGTTTCATGTTCTTCTTCAAATGAAAGTCTTTTAAAAAAATAAATAAATAAATTATAATATAGAAATAATTAGCTAGTTTTTTTTTCTTTACTCTAATCCCTTTTTAAAAAGATTTGTCCAAATTTGATTTTTTTGGGTTGAAATGTTTTTAAATAAAAACCTAACATAACACAAACATACATTAAAATATAGTAAGTTAACAAAAATAAAAAATAGCACATAAATCAAATTACATAACAAATGAATCCCCGAATATAAAGCCTTCCATTGTAGAAGAGATGTCTTTAGGGCACTTCCAGCGCTCCTCTTTTGCCAGGGCATGAGGGGGCCTAGGCAAGGCAATTGGCTCTAGCGCGCAACAGCAAGATCGGGTAGTTGGTGGGCTCCATAAGCCTGGGCAGGCCCAAAGGAAAATTTTGCCTAGCCTGCTGCCTAGGTTTGCTGACATCATCGATGATGTCAGCTACAAAAAAAATAGAAAAAATCTAAAAAATTTCAGATTTTTTTTAATAAAAATAAATATTAAAAAATAGAAAATAAATTAAAGTGAATAGTAATTGCTCTTGCCCTTTGGAGTGGAAACAAAAAAGACAAGGGCTACCACTATTAATGTGAATAGTGGGCCTAGTGCCAAGGCTTGGCTCTAGTGCGCAATAGCAAGACTGGGCAGTTGATGGGCTCCACAAGCCTGGGCAGGCCCAAAGGCAAATCTTGCATGGGTTGTTGCCTGGGTTTGCTAACGTCATTAATGACGTTAGCAACGAAAAAAGAATTGAAAAAAATCTTTTAAAATACCAAGAATTTTAGATTTAAAAATAAATAAATACCTAGTCATATTTTTCATTTCTCACACCAAAATTAATGGTTTAAGTATAAAAAAAAATTAAAAAAAAAAATTAAAGTGAATAGTAATTACCTTTGCCCTTGCCTTTTTGGGTGGGAACAAAAAAGGTAAGAGCTGCTACTATTCACGTGGATAGTGACAAACTTTGCCTTACCATTGCCTTTTGGGATGGAGGTGCTCTTCGGCCCCGTTTGGTTCACGGAATGAATTTGAGGGGAAATCATTTCCTAAGAGATGAGAAATGGAAGATTCATTTCCCACGTTTGGTAATGCTGGGAAAGTAATTGAGAGATAGACTTTATTTCATTTCTCATGTTTGTTTTGAGTATGAATGGAAAACAAAGTTTGTATAAATTTTCAATTATACTCATATTAAATTAAATAAATAAAAATGCATTTAATGATATATTGTAATTTTAAATTGCTAATGGGGAGAAAAGGGTTATGAAAAATGTGCATTTAATGTTGGTTCATTTTCTCAAGCTTTCCCATGATGAAAACAAAACTCAAGTTGAGAGGATGACTTCACTTTTCTCCTATTTTTCCATAGACTAGGCAACTATTTCCCATGTCTAGACTTATCAAATATAAAAAAATAATTAATTTTCCATCCTTAAGTATCATTTCTCATAAACTGAACGGGCCTTAAAACCCCAAAGATTCCGTCGAAAATCTAAATTGGACTCTATCAACCTTTTTAGAGCCACTACCATTTAGGATGGCGTAAGTGAGGCACACTGCCCACTGATGTAGACAAGTGCACAGCTGCATGGAGATTCACCAACAGGTCCCACGTAAAGAGAAAAGAAGCCAAACCATGACTTCCAGCACATGGTTTCGGCACCATGATTTCTTCCTCTTTTCCATCTTGCTTTCGGCTTCCCATAGAGCCAAGGGAACACAATATCCCATGCAATTTTATCAATAAAAGACAACCACCGAAAGAAAGCACTTGTGAAGGTAGGTGCCCATAACAAAACACATCACGTGCAATTTTATCAATAAAAGACAACCACAGAAAGAAAGCACTTGTGAAGCCAACAAAGTCAAGGTAGGTGCCCATAACAAAACACATCACATGCCATCAAATTTGAGCCAATTCCAACATTTACCTATATAAGTAACAACAATTGTTGGATGGAAGACGTGTATTGAAGAGATGGCGACTGGGTGGTCATCAGGTGGTGAGGCCTCAGAGTCACAGGCACAGCCAACAGAATCAGTTAAGCACCATGCTCAGATGGTTTAGTTTTGCGTACCTTTGTGTGTTAGTTACGTATATACGTAGATACATATTTATGCTTCTGAAATGTGTGCCAAAATTCAGCTCCAAATCAAAATTTATGGGACTTCAATTTGATGTAAAGAATGGAAACTTGTAAAAAAACTTAGAAATCAACCATCTTGATTATGTCATTATCTTGTTGGATACTGTTACCATTATCACTGTTATTGCAGATGTATCTTGACCAGACGTCCAACAGGTGCTTTCTGGTGTATGCAAAGGCTCTTGATATCACTTGGTCTGGAGACCATCGTTACTGGCGCTGGGTGCAAGAAACCAGGTACCAAAAACGTCAATACATAACTCATGCTCGGTTTCTCCGTTTCTCCAGTCCTATTGAACATTTGAAACAGATAACATATACAACAAATTTAAAATATATATCCAGATTTTTCTCGGACGTCCAGACGTTATCGCCATGCCAACACTATATATTTTCTACTATCTTTCCCTGCTTTTCTCTCTGTTTACAATGACGACTACATTTTAATAATGTTCAGACATCTGCATAGGAGAAGAACTGTATATCATACTAATGCTATCAATAATCTTAGTCCTAACTTAGGCTTCATTGTAGTGATGGCCCTACTGAAGCTGCTGAACTGTTAGGATTAAGTTGGCTAGAAGTGCGTGGAAAACTTAAGACCACAAAGCTGTCGCCAGGAATTCGGTATGAAGTTGTATTTGTGGTCAAGCTGCAAGCTAAAGCTTATGGATGGGATGTTCCAGTGAATCTCAAACTCAATGTCCCACACGCTTCAGAGAATCGATGGAGTAAAGTTAATTTGACTGATAAGGCAAGAGAGCAATGGATAGAGATTCCGGTTGGCGACTTTATTGCATCACCCGAAAAACCTGGGGACGTCGAGTTTTCATTGTATGAATACGATCAGAGATGGAAGACCGGACTTGTTATCAAAGGTGTTGTCGTTCGGCCAATCTACGAATAACTTGGCATATGAGCAGAGAGATGATGTTCTGGTTTTTTCATTTCAACTCTGAAATGAGAGAACTGCATATGTAACATATGGTTGTTAATTAGCAAGAGCCTTCTGTTGGCGTAGTTTTAAAAACCTTCTATTGGCATTTCCTTTTTCTTTTTCTTTTTCTTTTTTTCTGAAAAAAAACAAACCAATTGCAGCAGTGGTTGTTTAGATTAGCAAGAGCCATGCAGCTCAGTAAAGTAATTCCACACAGAGTTTCAATTCATGAAGAAAGAGGCTGGTTCACGGGTAGGGCGGCTCTGAGATTTTAGGGGCCTGGTACAAATGAGTAATGGAGCCTCCTGAAACAAAGTCTTCAATGAAAAAAATATATAAAAAGAATTGCAGCATAAATATTGAAAGCAAATTTAAAACTAGAACTCATTAACATCAGTTAATGCTAGACTTACCATATTTTTCATACCACATGATAGTGGCAGCTGATGTACAAGCATCTCTATGAACTGTGACCTTGACAGAGAAAAGAAAGGGACCCCTGCTGCTCCTGCTATGGCCTTAGCCAGCAATGTCTTTCCAGTCCAAGGGAATGGTCTTCAACTGCAAAAAACTTCTCTTGGGTTTTTAAAAATTCAATAGTCTCTTGGAAATATTGGTTTGCTTCCTCAGCTCCTGCCAAATCGTCAAATGTTATCCTTCACATTGCTGTTAACATCAAAACAATTGCATTAGGCCAATATGAAAATTTATTGAAAATAACTACAGAAAACATATTGTGGAGAAAAAGAGAGGAGAAAATCCGAACTTGTAAAAATGTGCAATTCAAACAACCATAAATAATTTTAAAAGAAACAACAGCAAATGAGTTATATAATACATACACTGTATGCATATGAGTTATATAGTAAACCAATCATGTAGATAAGCAAAATCAGTGACAAAATTCATTCAGAATATGAACTACTAAGGAGATATGAAATACTGAATTCAATTTCAAAGATAACAGCCTTGTTCATAGCAGGCATGGCACCAATATGAGATGGGTTGGCTGCAAACCTCTGTGATATCCTTGGAGACGTGGTTCGAAGTTTGATGCGTGTCAATTTTTTCTTATTTTGTAATCATTGGTTCGTTTGGCTGTTTACTAAACCCTTTTTACTTTAAAAAGAAAAACCGGATTTTGATTAGTTTCTTACTTTCACTCCAGCATTTGTTTCGAAAATGTATAGGAGTAGAAGAGACTGACTCTTCAGACCAAAAAAAAAAAAAAAGAAGAGACTGACTCAACTTTCTATTGTGATTTGTTTTTATGGTCTCTGCTTACATAGTTGTTTGAAATACTTAACCATTGTCACCCTCAACTTTATTAAGGGTTGGTTATTGGCCTACGGCAGATAAAAAAGAGTTTTTTGTCTATGGTTTTATAGGCTCTGTGACCTCTAAACTACTTATGAGTCCTGCCTGAGTTATCCTGTTTGGGCTGCTTTTAAGAAGACCTTAACAACGCTTTCAGATGTCTAAAAGCGCTTCTGTCATCATTTAGCGGAAGAAATTTTAAAAGTACTTCAAAGTGCTTTTATAATCCATAAGCTTTTTCAAGACGTACTTTGATGTTGTGTTAAAATTTGGACATACTTCTATTAAAAGCACCTCCAACAAAACTTCTATTAAAAGCGCTTTGAACAAAAACGTTTATGAAAAGAAGCACTTCCAAATAGAGCATATACGATACACCACAATCAACATGAGAGTGAATTAAATTGTGAAAGCATGCATGCCTATCTCAGATGTTTGTACTAGATAAAATTGCCGCTTGAGCCTCAATATACATCATTCTCTTAAACTTTCAGCAAAGTAGTGAGGGTGATCAGGTCGGGTATAGTATGTTACAAGATTGTAGCAAGATTTTCTTCCAACATAAAATGGGTTTCATTCTGTGGCACCTTGTTGCACACACATATATATATATATATATATATATATATATGTATACAGACACAGGACACAGATTAGGATCGATATAGACGGGATTCGGGAAGGTTGTATTTAGCAGTTAATTATTTGCATTTGGATTATATACATGCATGAATTCCATGACATAAATGAATGCTGAGAATTTCTAAGAAAGTAGGAAATGATTCATCACATTGTAGTTTAGTGACTCCGTGTTTCAATCTTCTAATGAGAGCAAATACATTTTATTCTGTTCATCAATTATTGAGTCAAATCTCTTCTCTGTTTTTATTTCATATTCAACCTCACATGTGATGTTGTAGTCTCTTTTATCTAAGGTCTTACTTAGAATTAATGGTATTTCTCTTAAAGAAGTGTCCCTCTTGTTTTTGTGGCTAAAACTTCCCCGGACAGTTATATATAGTCTTACTCAGAATTAATGGTGTTTGTTTTATAGAGAAGTTCCTCTTCAGTTTCGACCGAAAAAAAAAAAGGTTCCTCTTCAGTTTTGTGGCCAAAACTTGTAAGCCTTTTCAAAGAGCCCAGTGAATATGGACACCCATGTTGGTATAAAGTGACAGGTCCATGACAGCAAAATCCCCAGAGGACAAGTTTTGTTCTGAAAGGTACAAAGCTAAAATATGATTGGCTTGATCATGGCCCTTGTAGTAATTTCATATGATCACATCTATTAGTAGGTGCTGAGTGTGCAAATTATGTTCTTCCAATAGACCTTCATTTTATTTGTGTCCCCCACTCAAGAACCTTTTTGAATAAAATCAAACACTTATGTTAGTGTACGTCTCACATCTTGTCATCTTTCCGAGGCATTTTAGGCCTTTAGCTGCTGCATATAGCTCCACCATTGTCCTGCAGTAGCCATTCTGTTGTGTAGCCCAAAGGGTATATCAAAATTCTTTGGCCCTTTGGCATGTGTTTTCACTTAACCTATTTGTGCCAGGTAGGTCAAAGGAAAAACAGAAAACATGGAAAGCTAGAGGGCAGGGCTTGCTAGCTAAGAAGAATGCCAAACAGAAGAGGGTGCAGCTGGGTAGGCTGATTGAGGGGCCAGCAAGACTTTATTTGCTGCATTATTTGATATCAGAATCCAATGAGATGATGGGCATGAAATTATTACATAGATTGAGATCAGTTTTCAGCCTAATGATCCATCACCATGGTGAAGGGTCCCTTAATTTATATGATGTGAAGCCACATTCTGCGTGGAGCCCTTTGATGTGTGCAGGTGCTATTGTTTTCTTTAAGTTATGAAGCATCATTTATTGCAGAGGAAATCTATTGACAGTCCCACACACACACACACATTCTCTCTCTGTGGAACTGTATAATTCCACTACGTAAACTCCCAATTCTATTGTTTGCAAGCAGGTGATGGTGGGGACAGAGTTCTTCTTCCTGAGATGCTTAACTGGTAAAATTTACCATTTCCCATGTAGCCAGGAGGGAAAAATAAAGAGCGTCTCTCTCTCTCTCTCTCTCTCTCTCTCTCTCTCAGATGTTTTTGTTTAGGAAGTACAGGTTTTGATGACAGTGAGGGTTCAAACTGTAAAGGCTCTATACTTTGTGCTCTGCTTTACATTGAAAGAGTTAGAAAGTAAAAAGAAAAATGATTTTGTCGAAGTCTCCAAATTGCCATTAGTTGTTCTATATCCACCTTTGTCTGAGGTTTCAATCTAATTCTTATTTTATGTCAAAACCCACCTAGATTTTAGCAAAAAAGACCCAACAAAAGCCAATACATTAGGCAACTAATCCTCAAATTCATCTACTATGGACGGCTTCTTACTGTTAAGCCTCATGGATATAGAAAATTTTGAAGTAAAATGAAGATGGGCTCCTTTTTGTGGATGGGAATGTTTCTTTCCCACGTGGATATCATACCTTTAGCCGCCACTTAACATGCAAATAATCTCATCCTTTCCATCCAACTCCCCTATGCCCACACACCACACACACACTATAAGCTACATCCTTGTGTCCTTTTCTTTACCCATGTGCCTGCCAATAATATCATAAATGCCATTGATTTTCAGATCCCTTCTTCTACTTTTACCCCTTGAATTGTTGTCTTCATTCTCTTATTTCTCTTCCCAAAAGAGGAGGCCATTTTGGGTAACTCATGCAAATGTGAAGATTACTTGTGAGGCTGAAGATGGATACTGCAGTTTTGTTAGAGCAACATTGAAAGGTTGAGCTTCAATTTCCTATTCTCATTATTGTAGAATGAGGGCCTAGCCAGCTTAGCTTGTTCAGCTTCTTTACATATTGAAAGTTTGAATGGGGGTCAAAAGAAACAAAAATGTACTCAAGATACCGTACGTATTAGTAGTGTTATGAGTCTTCAGTGTTGCTTCACTGAAGTAATCAATCCCTCTCTATCTCTCTCTCTCTCTCTCTCTCTCTCTCTCTCTCCTATTATTTGCTTCAGTTCACTATATAATGGAGGACTGAACATGATAAAGATTTCACAATCACTGACATGGCGGATATCGATCATGGGGAAAGTACTGCTGCACCCACCACTGCCAACATGACTTCTAAGAAGAAAGAGCTTCTTTCTTCTGCCTTGAAGAGAACCAGTGAATGGTTTGCTTCATGAATTTTCTTTTCCCTTTATAATTACTTCTGTGGGTTTTAACTTTGAAGTGTCCTTGCTAATAAGATAACTTATTTCTCTCTTGTAGTTCCCATGATTTGATTTCTCCTAAATATAGGGGAAAACAATAATTACTGTACTTGAAACTTGCAGGATTTTTTCTCAGGAGATACCCAGTGATGTTAATATTCATGTTGGAGGAGTTTCCTTCTCATTGCATAAGGTATTTTTGTACTTCTGATTCATGTATCAAATTATGTGACCATTAACACCAAAAACAATTATTTGGTACATATAATGAATATATATGTATAAAGAACTAATTTTTGTTCTTTTAATGTATGGATAAATCAAACAAGCATGGAGAGGCTAAAAAATATCTGGCATAAACTAATTAAAAGTAACTGATATTGGATTTTAACATCACCTGCCACAACTGCAGTTTCCTTTAATTTCGAAGTGTGGATATATAAGGAAACTGATATCAGAATCGAGTGATGCTGATCTATCTGTCATTGAACTACCTGATGTTCCGGGTGGAGCAGAAGCATTTGAACTTGCAGCAAAATTCTGTTATGGAATAAATTTTGAGATAAGTACAGAAAACATTGCAATGCTGCGATGCGTGGCAGAGTATCTTGTGATGACTGAGGACCATGCAGTTGGAAACCTTGTGGGAAGAACTGATGCCTACTTGAATGAAGTGGCGCTAGAGAGCCTAGCAGGTGCAGTTTCTGTTTTACACATTTCAGAGAGCTTTCTCCCAATGGCAGAGAAAGTGAAATTGGTCAGCCGATGCATCGATGCAATTGCTCTTATAGTCTGCAAAGAGAGCCAGTTCTGCGTGTCTGGTATGGGAGATAGTGTCAATGAAAGTGCGGTTTCTTCAGCAGTGTATCATTCAAAACCTGTTGTTGATTGGTGGGCTGAAGATTTAACTGTTCTTAGAATTGATATCTTCCAAAGGGTTCTTATTGCAATGATGGCAAGAGGGTTTAAACAATATGCTCTAGGACCAGTACTCATGCTTTATGCACAGAAATCTCTACGAGGTTTGGTGAGATCTCACTCCACAAAACAATATTTTTCAGTTTAGTAGTTCACATCTTTACTTGTAAATTCTCTTTTGGAATAGGAACTATTTGGAAAGGGGAGGAAGAAAATTGAGCCACGACAAGAGCACGAGAAGAGGGTTGTCTTAGAAACAATAGTTAGTCTTCTGCCAAAGGAGAAAAATGCAATGTCAGTCAGCTTTCTTTCTATGCTGCTTCGTGCTGCAAAAACTCTCGAGACAACGGTTGCTTGCCAGCTAGATTTGGAGAAGAGAATGGGCATGCAATTGGCTCAGGCTGTTTTAGATGATCTCTTGATTCCCTCATATTCCTTTACTGGGGACACATTGTTTGATGTGGACACTGTGCAAAGGATCATGTCAAATTACCTTGAGTATGAAACGGAGGGAAGCCCTTTGCTCTATAATGCAGAGGATGAGTATGTTTCCCCTCCACAGACCGACATGGAACGAGTTGGAAAGCTAATGGAGAACTACCTTGCTGAAATTGCCACAGACCGTAACGTATCTGTCTCAAAGTTTATTGGCATTGCTGAACTTGTTCCAGAACAATCAAGGGCAACAGAAGATGGGATGTATAGAGCCGTAGATATCTACCTAAAGGTGCACATTCTTGTATATAATTTTTTTTAACAGTAATGATACATCTGCAATGGTTATTTAGACTTTCTATATTTGACAGGCTCATCCTGCTCTAAGTGACATGGAGAGAAAGAAAGTCTGCAGCATGATGGATTGCCAGAAGCTTTCCCGTGAAGCCTGTGCTCATGCTGCTCAGAATGATCGCCTTCCTGTTCAAACCGTGGTCCAAGTTCTATACTACGAGCAGCAACGCCTTCGAGACGTCATGAATGGCAATCTCACAGGTGGTGAATCCTCTGTTCTTCCTTCCAAAGGGAACTTGTACTCCACTGACATCCACCCAGTTCCTGATGAGCTCTCCATCTTACGTAGACAAAACGAGGAGCTGAAAATAGAGTTGGTGAAAATGAAAATGAGACTGAAAGAACTTGAAACATCAACTATGAGAACATCAATGAGCAGTCCAATGGGAAACATTTCAACATCTGCTGATAAACCTCCTCTGCCTCGAAAATCATTTATAAACTCGGTGTCGAAAAAACTAGGAAGACTTTCTCCTTTTGTGCGCACAGATGGAGTGACACCTTCCATTCCCAAAGGCCGCACCAGAGCTGCCAAAGATCGGCGGCATTCCATATCTTGAGGCATTGGTTTGTTACTGAGCTCTATAATACTTTATGAGGAAATCTAATGCCTTTGTTTGCTTTGTTTCCAAGGCTTGAGAAAATTAGTAGCTTCAATCTAAATCCTACCTTTGATCTGCTTGTGTGATGTCAATGTAAATAATATTGTCATTGTGCTTTGAATAAGATTGCATGATTCAAAGGCATTGAGTATAAAAGAGTGGAATGGCTGAGTGTAATTTTCTTTTAGTTGATGTTTCTCTCCATCCAAAACTGGTAGCCACAGGAATGAGTTTGATGTAATCTCCAATTAGTATGGTCCATTAGATCATCAAGAAGATACTGTAGAGAGATAGCGAGAGACAGAAAAGAAAAAGAAAAGGTCATAAACTTTAATTCCCATTACATGAGGTCTTCAGGTTATGAGTGTGTCAAGGCCATTCCATTTCTGGAGGAACAAAATAGAGATAAAAAATATGAGAAAATAGCATCCAACATCAGGAAATTACCCTTTGAGAGATTTTGTAATTATCAACAATCTGTCATATGCATATGCCTCTGTGAAGATTAGGGTCTTATTGATCAGAAGAAGCCAATTTGATTGAAAGAATTGCTTCTGTTTTTAGCTAATGCAAGTAGGTTGAAGTCTTAAGCAATGAATGATGGAGTCATTCTATAGTGAGGGCCTTATCTAAGGTCCTTAGATGAGGCCCTATCTCTTAACCGTTGGATCAAACTAACCAATTTAATCCAACGGTTAAGAGGTAGATGATCCAAGTAGGGCCTACCCTCAAACCAAAACTAGAGATTCTGGACCTCCCAGAGGTGCAGTACCAGATCATTGCTGTTTGTGGGGTCTGCATTGAAATTATTAACTCCTTTGTGATAAAGAGACTTTGAGAAAGTAAAGACTAGCTACAGCAGACAGAGTAGCAGTATAGCATGTTGATCATGTCGGAGGGAAATTATCATGGAACCCAAAAGAGATACTTTCCAATATATGTGACTCCACAGAAGGACTCTGATGACCTTAGCAGAATCTAAAGTTTGACATTATTGTTTACTTTGAGTGTTTGTGGCTTGAAGCCTTAAATGGGAAGGTATGAATCATTGAGAATGTTCGTGTTGTTTAAATTGTTTAAATGACTCTGTTTGCAGATAATACTCCTCCAAAACTTTCTAATTTGATGCCAACTAGGTTTCCATGCAGAACACAATGAAAGTTGAAATCCCCCAAGTCAATCAGAATTCAAAATTTCAAATTCCATGATGAAATAAATAGCACTCAGAGAAGTCAGACTTTATCACTTCAGTAGCATAGGACTTTAGATTCCTTCGATTTTCACATCATTATTTTACCAATAGTGGTGCTGAGGTAGGTGCAAATGCAATGCAACAAAAAGGAAAGTCAGTAACAGAGAGAATTCTGCATTTGGTCTCTTCTTGATCTCATCATGAATAACTTATAACTGCATTATAGCCAGAAGATCTTAGCCAAAAGAAAAGCATGCAAGATGAACAGCTTTATTTATTTATTTATTATTATTATAGAGAATTTACTTCCTTTCAACAAAGGTTGGAGTTCCTCATGGAACATTGATAAGGTTTGACAAGACAATTTCCTTTTATCAGTTGATATTTAACTACAAGATAAATTTCTCATGTCAAAGTTCAAAATCTTAGCAACAATATAATTTTCTTTTGTCAGCAGCAGCTGTTTGTGCACAGCATATTGAGATGAAAAGATTCCCCTTATCTGAAAGGACAATCAGACTTATTGGTACACAACAGCAATACACAACAGCAATTGTCCTTGAATCATGATGGAGTTCTACTTCTAATTGTGTTGAGTCTATTTGGTCAAGCGACTATACATCTCCAAATCATGATTTTCATTATATTTCTTTTAGGCGACTAAAATAAGATAAAAATGAGATAAAGCAAGGGAGACAAATGATCTTTATACAAAACGCCACCCATCATCACACTAGAAACCAACTAATTAGAATCCCACCCAAAACATCAATCACAAATTAGTCAATAAGAAGCGGTCTAAAATCTTATCATATCAACCTAGAAGATTTTTATTTTTTCAAGTCATGTTCAAGCTCAAAACTTGGAAAAGCCATGGAGGCAGTTTTAGCCTCTCATCCTGTCTCAATTGTTCTTCAACAGGATCAATATTGCTGCTGTTTTTACTTCCATTTCTGTACCCTGAGGTCATGTCAGGCACCTGGCCATGTTTTCTCTGATGGGTCCTGGAACTACTTGTCCCGTTCACATGGCTTGATCCAGTTGAAGAAGAAGAGAAACTTGGCCCTGAATCTGATGTTAGTGGTGCCTCTCCTCTCTTCCTTCTGTTGGTGTTGTTGTTGTTGTTGCATCTAGTGGGGCCCAGAGTCAACTCAATCTCACTCTCATCTATGATCTCTAACACCCCATCATCTCCATCTGTGTCTGCAATGTACTCTTCTGCTGCTGCTGCAGGCTGTTCTAAATCTAGTTTCCCTTGTGGGTTAAACTGTTGTGCCTCATGCTGATGATAATTCAACTGACTGAAGCTGGTTTCATTCTTTAAATTCCAACTCTCTTGTTTCTGTCCCTTTGGCCTACTTTTACCAATGGAACTCTTCATCAATATCTTCTGGATATGATATAGACGATGAAGCTCATATACCTGCCGTACAAACTCAAGTCTAAAAAAACAATGCTACAGAAACTGATCAACTATAGTTACATGTCTGAAACAATGGCTAGAATTATTACCTGCTCTTTGAATGTTTCTTCATGCTTTAAAATGGCCATCCTCATGCACTCCTTATCATGTGGCTTAAGAAGCTTCTCCATACTGAAACTAAATTTGGCTAGCTTGTGCAAATTGCTGATTTCTGACCCCAATATCTGAATTGTGAAAGTTTGACACTTTTATTCCCAAAACTTGTATGCTCAGATCAGATATGCAGCTTGATTTGCATACCCTATCTGACAATGCTTCTCCTTCTCACCTAGTATATCTGCCAAATGAAGAAAAAAGGCAGCAAATATATTTAGAGAGCTAGGATTTTAATGCCCTACAAATATGATGGTTTGTGTTCTGCATAGAAACAAAGAGAGCACTGGTATGATGAGTTTCAAAGGATGATAGCAGCAACTGCTTTTGGTATAATTTGTCTGCTTGTTTCCCTATTCTCCCTCCCTCAGCCATTTTGGACCACAATAATAATTTCTTATGCAAAAATATCTTACAGCTTAACAGGGCATACATATCACTTATACCATCACAGTACCACCCCATTATATGTGGCTAATTCTCTGTAAAATATTTTTGTTCTTCTGATTTTCCTGCATCTCAGCTTCCTACTTTGGAATTATTATTTTTTTTTCCATTTTGGCTTGAGAGGTAATTAAAATTCTTTTCTGTTCATATTTATTCCCGACTTCCGAGATGATGACATCACAATGTCATATACAGTTGCAAATAGTAATTAATTTTCATAAATGACAATACTATTCAACACTTTGTGATAAATGGTTTCTGTTTTCTTTACATTTGAAACATGATATTCTTTATAATTTTCAAGAAAGATCAATGAATTCTGTTGTTGAATCATTTTGTCTTATTTGTCCAACTGAATTGTCAAATTGGAAGAATAAGATGCTCTTTCCTTATGCTGTCAAAATAAATTCACTCTCTTTTATGTGTATATTTCATGTTACTGCATTATACAGTTTTGAGATAATTGATGTTAAATTTAACATCTGAGAATTCTAAAAATGTGCAGAACCAATGAAGTGATCATGAGCTGCAAGCTGAATTACTTTCTTGAAAATCAAGCAGATGCAGATATATCAAAACCAGCCTCCAAAATTCAACATGTTTTATACATTCCAAAAAAATTCAAAACCCAAATGCATGATTTTGCACAAGACTGAAACATAAAAAGAATGATCAAGTTTGAATTTCTGACCTGCAGCCTGCAGTAAGAGGTTCAAGAGCTGAGGAGAGAGATGAACTACAACTTGTGTTCTTTTGAAGAAGAAGAAGCAAAAGCCAACAGAAAAAATAAAAGCACTGTTGAAAGAAAGCAAAAAGTTCCTCACCACACACACACACACACATGTACATACAGTTAGCTCTGTTGGATGGAATATGAGCTTGCCTTCACATTCCCCATCAGTATATACTACAACAACTGCAAGTATATGAATATATATATATATATATATATATATATAGTTTTGAAGTATTTAATGCTGTTGTTGTTGTTGCACTTGGGTTTTGAGGCATGCCAAACAAATCCCAGTGTCTTAGCCAATGTGATTCAAGGTTTGTGAAAGAGATGCCTCCTCAGACAAGTCCAGCAGTGCAAAACATTATTAAATTGAAATGAAATATAATAAACAGATATTGATCAGTTTATATTCTATCTTAATTAATTATATATAATTTCTGTTAAGGATCACAAAACAAAGGTTCATTGCTCAACTCAAGACAATGATTAGAATAACAGCTTAAACCTGCAACACAGTGAATCACATGCACCCAAGAATTATATATCTCAAGCGACAGTTGTCTCGATTAGATATGCACTAATTCTATAATTTTGTGTACAACAGTACAAGGCATGTTAATATGAAAAGGAAAAGACTGGTGGCATGGCCTGGCCTGGCCCGCCGATAATTAGATCACGACCGTACGATAATTGGGTACCTTTCAAACACTCCATCAAGAACAAAGGATCCCAAATCAAACACACACACATATAGAAGCTTAATTGATTGTGATTTTCTATCTTTCTTTTTTCTTTTGGCTTATAATTTGTCCATTTTATTTTATTGAAGAAGGGTGGAGTTTAAGAAATCGTGCGTGTATTCTATGTATGCTTACATTTTAATGTATGATGGGTGGGTTGAGTTGTCAAAATCTGAAAATGCAAGTGTAATTCGGATCTATAACAAAAAAAACAAAAAAAAAAATTAGGTGGAATCATATGGCAAATGGTCATTTGGTTTAGTGACACTCAATCTCCATTTTATTGCATAAGATTATGTATTCAAATTTTATAAATGCCACTAGCATATTTACTGATGAAAGTCATAAATCGAGCAAGTTAAGAATAGAGAAGATAATGGATAAGTACGGACTCAACTACCCCTAATCATAGACATTGTAAAATGGAACTCGCATACTCTTTGAATTCGTATGTGTTAATAAATGCATGAAAAATCAGAAATCAAAATAATTTCAATACCCATTTTCAACAATTTTCAAATAAGTAAACATGTCACAAGTGCATACAATCCTCGTCTATTATTTGACATCATAACATCCAACTCATATATGATTCCTCATTATATACCCACAAATGAGTACATTCATAAAATAAAAAAATTGTTTAAAACATTATAAGATTATTGCTATAATTAAGAAATCATTTATAAATCAATAATGACTTCCAGACTAGTTATTCTACATGATATAAAATATAAAATCCTGGATAGATATCTAAAAATGAATTATAAGAAAGATATGTTTACAAGTAATGTTGGATATATACCTAAAAAAGAAGCAGCAGAAGACCAAGACCCACAGCACAATGATTGATTATAGCCGTTTGTTGAACATGTGAGTGGGGGTGTAAAGAATAATCCAACCGTCCAGATAAGTGGACCCAAAAATACTGAATATGTGCAATGACTAAAAAACATACAGCATGAAAATTTGATGGCAGAAGAAATCAGAGATGGATAAATAATAATATGTTTCTGTTTCTGGTGGAGTGGGTTTTGTCATTTCCTCAATATTCTTCAATATATATTGCAGAAATAATGCAGAAGACAGATTGGAAGAGAAGATCCAATCCAACTATCTTAGGCCATGAAAATTAGGAAATTAATTCATTACAAATGGATGGAATATGGATTTGGTTGCATCATGCATGTTAAGTTAAAACAAAATAATATTATTATTATGTAATTATTTGAAAAATAAAAAATGAAAAACGAGTACGAATGTTTCAATTCGGAGTCATAGTTTGGGTGTCAATGGAGTATAGTCCAGTTGAAAAGGATCTTGACTCGCACTTGCAAATCAGTAGTCTTATATTTGAACTCACCTAGCACATTAACAGTGTGTGAGAAAATTTTCATCCCTATTATCGCTTTTATAAAATAATATATATATATATACAGTGCCCTTCTATTGATGGATCTCTTAAATAATTCTATTTGAGGGACGTCCTTTAGTGTACCCTACAATTTTTTTTTCCAATAATCCAAACCATCTATTTTTTAGGTCTTCATTCATAGATCATCCTTATAAAAAACTAGACAAATCGGAAACCGTTTCGACATCCAATTGTGTCCTACAAAATTCATGAACACGGTGCTTCAAAAAAATACTAAGATTTCAATAACTCAATTGAATGGGCAAATGATATCGAATTCAAGTGATTTTTTGTAAAGATGATATTTGAATGTGTATCTATAAAATAGACAGTTTGAATTAGTTAAATACAATTCAAAGTAGACCCTACAAAAAGTGTCCATTAATGAAAGTTCTCTGTATACATATATATATATATATATATAAAGTCGTGGCTTGTGTGGAGTTTCGATCTCCTCCAGGTATTTTGTACTTTTCATTATGATCTCGTGATGTATTATTTACTTTATTTTATTTATTATTTATATGAGAGAGAGAGAGAGAGAGAGAGAAGTTGGTGGTGGGTGGACACGGAAGCACGCGTTGCCGGGGAGAGGAGGTGCAGTCGTATGGGGCGGTGGGTCCATTGGGTTTGCTGAAAAAGCCTGAGTCACTTCCTTGCGCTGTTCTTTGGTCCCACGCCCACTCGATTCATTCGTACTCACAATTTGGAAACTATCCACACAAAATATAATTTGAATTCAATTCAAAGAGGAGGGTAATATTTTTCAAACTTATGTTACTAAATAAGTAAGACTTGTATAGTTCCGAATGTGGCAGAGTCATTTTTTCTTACAAACAAATAACAATATTATACCCCAAAAAAGCAGTACATCGCGAATGCAAAAAATTATTGTATAATAATGAAGTACAATCACGTAGAATTTAAAGTTAATTATATCGTGTGACTACATTCTAGTATGACACAATATTTACTCCACATGTGTAGACTTTAATTTGCAGGTAAAGAGAAATAACCACATAAGAAAGGTAAAATACAGATGGTTGCGAGAGATGAGGGAAGGAAAGGGTCCCAGACCTTAGAGTGTCTCAAGATTTCAAGACTTGACTCAGCGAAGAAATCTAATGGCTGCCATGCCATGTCGGTGTCCACTGGATCCTCAACCAACACCAGCGTCTATGATCTATGCCCCTTCCAGTTTTTAAGTTCTCTCCGTACGAGAAAAATTAGTTTTTAAAAAACAAAACTATTAAGTTGTAATCAGGGATTTTGGCTAAACAAATAGATTGTTCAAAATTGAGCTCTGCATCATCATCATGCATGGATGTACGGACATTTAACCATAGAAAAAGTTATTAATGGTCATTGCGATTTAAATAAAATATTGGCATAGAGAATTTGAACCTTTTTTTTTTTGGGCAAGTGTTTTAATTTTATCTTTTGATTTCTTTTATTAGCCCAAATGAGTAATTACAGTATCTTACGGTAGTATACTCTGTGGTGTAGCTTGTCCACATGTTATAATATAAGTGAATATTTATTGATACTATTCTCTAAAATGGAGAAATATCAACCATATATTGGCCACTCATATTATAATACAAGCTATATCACGTGATCATACTAATATACTATTACTTCGGATTTATTGTTCTATCCTGCAGGGAAAGAATGAGATGAAAGAAAGATCCTCGTTTTCGATTTAGTATTCTCATGGCAATTAAAGCTACAAAATGTGTTTTATATGTCAAATATGAAGGTAAAATTCATCAAATTATAAAGAATTGAAGAATATTTTACAAATGAAAAAGATTTATATACGAATTATAACAAGAAGAACACTACATTATAGGCCCGGGCCTCCTTGAGTGAAGGATGCATTATCATATGTGCATGATGCAGCATGGCTGAATGAACCACATGGTTCATGTGTGTTTTGAATGCGCACGTAGGAACCTACATTATGAAAGATGAACCAAACATTTATGGGATCTACCTAAATATGTGAAAAGACATTACTACGACTTTGGGTGCAATGTTCTCACATCTCCTCTATACTTGTAAGTTGTAACTATAAACAATTGATGCTCTACATGGATATCCTCTAGTAAGGCGGAGCTACTAGTCAACTCGAAGTGACCGTGGTCCTCCTAAACTCTAGCAGTCATGTGAAATTTATGAATTTTCGTAATTGTTGATCTTCTCAAGAAATGAAAGTTAATTTCTCCACTATCCTTAATAGCGTATACAAAATAATCTAATAATTTGGATAAAAAATGCTACCATCAATTGCATCTAAGCTCGTGAAGTATTCTCAGCTATTGATTAATTAGTATGAGTATCGAGGTTTCCTAATTTTTAAAGTGAAATATTTGATTCTTATACTTGTCAGCGAATCACAAAAATATTGGTATATTTTTGCTGCTTACTGATTTATTTTTTTGTTTATTTTTTTGTTTTGTATCGCTAGCATGTCTTAATCACACAAGGATGTGAGGTTAATTTGATCCGTAAACTGCTAAAATTCTTTTGGCTTATTAGGCGTTTTCTTTCAACCAATAAAACGATAAGTAATAATAGTGCAAGATTTCAATGCGCAAGTGGATTGTGTAAAAACAGTGAATACAAATTATGTAATGCATGCGTGTTTGACTTAAGATGCCAATGAAAAACACACACACAAATAGTTTATTTTTCTGAACAGTTATAAAGAAACAGTAACGGCAAAAAGATAGCTAAATGATCATCTATCTTTTCTCCTTTTACTTTACTTCATTTCTTCTACTCAAGCCAACTTTTTCCATAAAGATTAAAAAAAAAATTTCTTTTTACATACACACAACTAAGATGTTATGAGAGTTCGAACCTGAGACATTTTATCTGCAAATTAAGAACTATTT